AACAGCTGAATAAAGGGTGGGGAGGGAATGTGGGAATGGGAATGGGAATGCAGGGGAAAACGAGTATTGGGAGGGGGGAGGGGGTTGAGGAGGAAGGAATGGGGGAGGAGGGAGGAGGGAGTGTGAGAGCAGGGAAACACAACGGCCGTTAGTTTTACACACACACACATACATACATACATACAGTACACACACATATACATACATATACAGTACACATACATACATACATATATATATACAGTACAAATACATACATAAAAGCATACATACACGTTTTATTCAGTAACTAATTCAATATTTAAAATCTAATAAATATTTAAATTGAGAATATTTTTAAAATTATGAATGGCAAGTACTGTGGGGGTAGGTGGGGGTGTGGGTACTGTGTGGAGGTGGAGGTGGGTGCTGTGGGAGGTGTGGGGCTGGAGTGGGTGCTATGGGAGGGGTGGAGTGGTTGGTGGGTGGGTGCTGTGGGTGGGTGGTGGGTGCTGTGGGGTGGGTGGTGGGTGCTGGGTGGGTGGGTTGCTGTGGGTGCTGTGGGGTGGGTGGGTGCTGTGGGGTTGGGTGGGTGCTGTGGGTGGGTGGGGGTGGTGGGGGGTGCTGTGGGGGGGGGGTGGGTGCTGTGTGGGGTGGGTGGTGCTGTGGGGTGGTGGGTGGGTGCAGGGGTGGGTGGTGCTGTGGGGTGGGTGGGTGGGTGTGGGGTGGGTGGGTGCTGTGGGGTGGGTGGGTGCTGTGGGGTGGGTGGTGGGTGCTGTGGGGTGGGGGTGGGTGGTGGGTTGTGGTGGGGTGGGTGGGTGCTGTGGTTGGGGGTGGGTGGGTGCTGTGGGGTGGGTTGGGTGGGTGCTGTGGGGAATGGGTGTGTGGGGTTGGGTGGTGCTGTGGGGTGGGTGGGGACGCTGTGGGGGTAGGTGGGTGCTGTGGGAGGTGGTGGGTGCTGTGGGGTGGGTGGTGGGTGCTGTGGGGGGTGGGTGCTGTGGGTGGGTGGTGGTGCTGTGGGGTGGGTGGTGGTGCTGTGGGGTGGGTGGGTGCTGTGGGGTGGGTGTGGGGTGGGTGGGTGCTGTGGGGGTGGGTGTGGGGTGGGTGGGTGCCTGTGTGGGTGGTTGGGTGTGTGGGGGAGGTGGGTGCACTGTGGGGGTGGGTGGGTGCTGTGGGGTGGGTGGTGGGTGCTGTGGGGTGCTGTGGGGGTGGGTGCTGTGGGGTGGGTGTGGGGTGCTGTGGGGATGGGTGGGTGCTGTGGGGTGGGTGGGGTGCTGTGGGGGGGTGGGTTGCTGTGGGGGTGGGGAGGTGGGTGCTGTGGGGAGTGTGGGTGCTGTGTGGGGTGGGGTGGGTGCTGTGGGGGGGGTGGGTGCTGTGGGGTGCTGGGGGTGCCTGTGGGGTGGGAGGGTGGTGCTGTGGGTGGGTGGGTGCTGTGGGGTGTGGGGAGGGTGGGTGCTGTGGGAGGGTGGGTGCTGTGGAAGGTGGGTGGGGGGTGCTGCTGGGGGGGGATGGGGGTAGGGTGGGGGTGGGGTGGGGGTGGGTGGGTGCCACTGGGTGGGAGTGGGTGGGTGCCTGGGCAGGTGGGGGGTGGGTGCTGTGGGGTGGGGGTGGGGCGTGGGTGCTGGGGTGGGTGCTGTGTGCCGGGGTTGGTGGGGAGGGGTTGGGTGCAGGGGTGCTGTGTGGGATGGGTGGGTCCTGTGGGGAAGGTGGGTGCTGTGGGGTGTGGGTGCTGTGGGGTGTGGGGCTGTGGGTGCTGTGGGGGAGGTGGGGGGGGGTGGGGTGGGTGGGGGGGTGGGTGGGGTGGGTGGGTGGGTGCTGTGGGGGCAGGGTGGGGAGGTGGGTGCCAGGGTGGGGTGCTGTGGGTTGGGGGGGGTGTGCTGTGGGGGTGGGTGGGGGGGGTGCTGTGGGGGGTGGGTGGGGGGTTGGGTGCTGTGGGGGAGGTGTGGGTGGGTGCTGTGGGGAGGGTGGGGTGCTGTGGGGTGGGGGTGGAGGTGGGAGGGTGTGGGGGGGAGCGTGGGTGGGTGGTGCTGTGGGGTGTAGGTGGGGAGGGTGGGTGCTGTGGGGGGAGTGGAGTGCTGTGGGGTGGGTGGGGAGGGTGGTGCTGTGGGGTGGGTGGAGGGTCTGTGGGGGGGAGGTGGGTGCTGTGTGGGGGTGCTGTGGGGTGGGTGCTGTGGGGTGGGTTGGGTGCTGTGGGGGGTGGGTGCTGTGGGGTGCTGTGGGGAGTGGGTGCTGTGGGGAGGTGGTGGGTGGGGGGAGGTGGGTGCTGTGGGGTGGGTGGGGTGGGTGCTGTGGGGGTGGGTGGGGGTGGGTGCTGTGGGGGTGGGTGGGTGCTGTGGGTGGGTGGGTGGGGAGGGTGGGTGCTGGTGGGGGGGGTGGGTGGTGTGGGGTGTGGGGGGGGGTGGGTACTGTGGGGGGAGGTGGGGTTGTGGGGTGGGTGCTGTGGGGGGGGAGGGTGCTGTGGGGGTGGGTGGGTGGGTAGTGTGGGGGAGGGTTACATTAACAGTATCGATATACAAAACCACTTATTTCCATAATACATCCCACCTTTTTTTTATCATTTCCCCACCACCACAGAGGCTAGTGACTGTGGCCAGAGATCTAACAATAAACTTTGTACATAAACCACCTTTTTTTTATCATTTCCCCACCACCACAGAGGCTAGTGACTGTGGCCAGAGATCTAACAATAAACTTTGTACGGGTTACTAGAGTAAGTCAACATACCTGGTGTCAACTGATAAACACTTTCTTCTTTACTGGAACAAGTTACCATAGTAATAGTATCAAATAATTCAAAGTTAAAACAATAAAACACATACCAGATAAAGCTACAGTAAGAGAGTGAGTTTATGTATTATTAACTAAGGAATGTTGTACAGTGATCTACCAACCTCAGAGAGTCCAAGTGTACTGTAATGTTTGTGCACCGTATACCTACATTGTCTATACACCATGCTGAACTGTATACTCTACCTGTATAATTAAAATACATACCTATTCAACTGTAAATTTGCATGACAGGAGGAAACTATAGTACCCGAAAAAAGTCTACATAAACATTTATAAACACTAGGAAAGAATTTTGGTCCAAGACTGAGTAAATTATGAAGAGACTGAAACAAGGGGCATTATTGTATTTTCGCACCAGACATTCCTACCCCTAATCTATTCTTATATTCTAATAAGACGTCTAATTATAAGATAATTTTCTTCTATTACATTACAGGTCAATAAGGTATGAAATAAGTTAGTCCATTAGGTCACCAAAGCCCCACAAAACATTCAATTCAGTTCCCCTCATCTATCCTAATTATCTACCATTTTCTATGTTTTCCCATTTTCTACCCTTCCAAACCATAAGACATCACGTGCACCAATATCGCTAAATGTAACTTGACTTAATATACTAAGGACTGACGAGTGACAATTCAAGCATACCAACTAACTACCCATTAGTGGAGGTGAACGAGCTTATTTACACGTGTACTACAGAATGAATATAGAATCCCTAGGAAGAATGACAAGACTAATCCCAGGCATTAGGAACCTTGAGTACAGAGACAGGTTAAAGCATCTTAATTTGTACTCCCTTGAGAGACGTAGAGTGAGGGGCGACCTGATAGAGGTGTATAAATGGAAGTCAGGGCTAAACAAAGGGGACATGACAAAGGTACTCAAACTATCCAACCAGGAGTGCTATAGGGGTTGGGTGTAAACGGGACTGACCAGTATAGACCCGCTGCTGTTTCCTCCATTCTTATGTTCGGGTGAGGACAATATGGACTCACAAATGGAAATTCGACTTTTTAACAATTACGTTAAGATTTACCTCCACTACATACCTCACCTGAAGATTAGACACCCCAGCTTATTTTACCTTTAGATTAGACACCCCAGCTTATTTTACCTTTAGATTAGACACCCCAGCTTATTTCACCTGAAGATCAGACCCCCCAGCTTATTTCACCTGAAGATCAGACACCCCAGCTTATTTCACCTGAAGATCAGACCCCCCAGCTTATTTCACCTGAAGATTAGACACCACAGCTTATTTCACCTGAAGATCAGACACCACAGCATATGCTTATTCACCTTCAGATTAGACACCCCAGCTTATTTCACCTGAAGATTAGACACCCCAGCTTATTTCACCTGAAGATCAGACACCTCAGCTTATTTCACCTTTAAATTAGACACCCCAGCTTAACTCCTCTTACAATTAAACACTCTAATGCGTTTTGGGTTAGGTTAGGTTAGGTTATTAGGCGTGTTTAATCAAATGAATAAGCCGGCGTCTCATCTCACGAAATCAGATTCACTTGATTACCCACCCCAATCACGACTCCTTAGAAATAATTGCTAAATCTTTTCTTTAATTAGCAAAATCATCTTCAAACTATAAAACATTTGATAATTTCTACATATTATTAACCTGCACACTCGCCCCCAAAAGGTAAGCATTATGGAAAGGTTCGATGAATTTCAAAACGAACGCCGTGACTCCTTTTGTTAAAATCCTTAATCCATGGTCGTTTTATCTAACACAAAACCGTAAGGATACTTTTTGGAGCTAGATTTTAAATTCTTGTTTCTTTGTATATTTTGACGGTTTTGGCAATATTACATTATCTCACAGGATACCAATTACCACATCAAGTTGCCGTATCAGATATCAGAGGTTAGTCAATAATTTGAGACAAAATACATAAAATACCAATGGAGAAAATAATACTAACTACCCTTACCAATTAATACCGACCAAGTGATTAAGAACAAGACCATTTGATCACCGTAAGAATCGGCACTATACCCCCAACTATCAGGGTTGGCTAATCTTCAGGTGATCAATAAAACGCTTACAAATAAAAATTTTTTTTTTTTTGGCTACATTACACACATCTCAACCTCCACTACCTGTTAATTGCGATGGAAAAATGAAAAAAATTACGACTAATTCACTGTACTTCAATCACCACCTTCAGTTAATCGGGACAACAAATAATAATGGAAAAAAAGTCTACTTCAATCACAAGTTTATTTTAGAAGAAGAATCCCAAGATCTTCCCTCCTAGATGCTTCCTTTTTGCCTCCTCGTGATCCATAATCCCGCCAGACGTCGTCAAGACAACATACCTGAGAGAGGGAGAACAGAGGCACCGATTAATAAAATGGACCTGACACATCTGGAGGTTTGTACGGTAGTTTATTTTGCTGCAAACGGCAAACAAAAATAAATAATAATAAGAAAATGAATAATTAAATGGTTGTGTAATGGACAAGTTAACGGTTCTGGTTAAACACGAGACATACACTCTGTCACGTCCATAGGGTGATACTGTATATAATGTGTTTAAAGTCCTGCTGTAATAGTCGAGATAAGTTTATTTCTCTACAAACAGCCGCCATGACGTCACCACCTTCCCCGCAGACGACGCTCTCCAACACACACACACCGCTGCAGTCGGTGGTAGTAGAAAGGATGGATCAATGAGGGATGTTCAGACCCCAAATGCCACGTTCAGGTAAGTTTTAAGGTGTTTTATATGGTCTAAGTCACGGACATTTGGTAAGTGAAGAAATGTGCCGTTAAGAGCAGCTTCAAACATAGGCTGGATGGGTATACGAGTGATAGGGGTTGGGTGTAAATGGGACTGACCAGTATGGCCCGCTGCAGGTTCCTCCAGTCTTATGTTCTTATGGACATAAAAAACTCCCATGTTCACACCAGCTCAGCTGTCATGTACTCTTACCTGGTAGACTTTCTCGTTTTTCTTCAGTTCATTTACAGACTATATGAGTACTAGATGGAGATACAAGTCAACTTAGAAGCAATGATATTGTCTGGACTTTGTTTTGATAATGCCTGATGCTAGTTAACATGACAACATAGTGCTGTTATTGTTTTGATAAAGCCTGATGCTAGTTAACATGACAACATAGTGCTGTTATTGTTTTGATAAAGTCTGATGCTAGTTAACATGACAACATAGTGCTGTTATTGTTTTGATAAAGCCTGATGCTAGTTAACATGACAACATAGTGCTGTTATTGTTTTGATAAAGCCTGATGCTAGTTAACATGACAACATAGTGCTGTTATTGTTTTGATAAAGCCTGATGCTAGTTAACATGACAACATAGTGCTGTTATTGTTTTGATAAAGCCTGATGCTAGTTAACATGACAACATAGTGCTGTTATTGTTTTGATAAAGCCTGATGCTAGTTAACATGACAACATAGTGCTGTTATTGTTTTGATAAAGCCTGATGCTAGTTAACATGACAACATAGTGCTGTTATTGTTTTGATAAAGCCTGATGCTAGTTAACATGACAACATAGTGCTGTTATTGTTTTGATAAAACCTGATGCTAGTTAACATGACAACATAGTGCTGTTATTGTTTTAATAATGCCTGATGCTAGTTAACATGACAACATAGTGCTGTTATTGTTTTGATAATGCCTGATGCTAGTTAACATGACAACATAGTGCTGTGCTGTTATTGTTTTGATAAAGCCTGATGCTAGTTAACATGACAACATAGTGCTGTTATTGTTTTGATAAAGTCTGATGCTAGTTAACATGACAACATAGTGCTGTTATTGTTTTGATAAAGCCTGATGCTAGTTAACATGACAACATAGTGCTGTTATTGTTTTGATAAAGTCTGATGCTAGTTAACATGACAACATAGTGCTGTTATTGTTTTGATGATTCAGTAATGAACAACTGGGATATATCATCATTTATATTAATTAATGGGTAAAATCTTACTTTAACTACTATAAATATTTGGATGTTTAGATTCGAGACAGGCTCTATTGGGTGAACGTTAAGTTTTGGTCATCCCTGTACAGTACTTAGACATGCAGACTATGTATTTTTTCTGATGGTTTGCGAAGTGTAATGAACGATTTAGACCTTAATTTTTATCGTAAATCACTAGTTTTGAGTTACTACCCCCCACCCCACTGATGTATGTTAAGCTAACCTTGTAACCCACCACACCCTGACCTATGATCTGTATTTTCTTATGAGATCGAAAAATGTTTTGTGACTGACCCTGTAGAGGTAATGTGTCTTACTGTTTAAAGTACTTAATACCATAGTTAGAATCTTAAGGTTCCCCAGATGACCTAAACCAAAATAATACCAATATTGTTTGGAATGTTTATACAATGAAATTTGTTGTATGGGCAGCTAATATCCATTGAATAAGTTAATGTGCTTAGTAATATTTATAAAATAAAAATAGTATTACTGTGTTGCACAATATATTATCTAATAATATTTATTTACTGAGCCAATAAGCTGAGAGGGTTGGACAACTACAGCTGGGAAGCTCGCCCCAACCAATCACAGAGCTTTTCACAGTCACGGGACTTTTCAGCGACTTTAACCCTTACTTTTTACACATTTTGGCCCAATTTATTTATAAAATATCATCACCATCGTGAATTTAAGTGTCGTCTTTACCCATTGACCGGCCATCTTAAGAAAAAACTCCGACCGTCAACTCGTCCCACTGTTATGGTCATGGTTCTATGGCAGTCCGTGTGGGTCATCTGAACAGCATCATACCTCAGGGTGTCAAGATAGCAACTAGCATCTTACTTGTGCCGTGCCAATAGCCGAGAAGTTGTTAATCACTCCACTCTTCAATCACCAGTGGAGCAGTTAACAAGAACTGGCTGTTGGACTCGTAATAGCTTAACAGGTTCAGTTTACTGGAGGAGTCAATAGTAATGAAGATGACAAAATAATCACTTTAATACAAGTTTGACTGATGGTCAGGTGAGGTGTGTGTGTGTGTGTGTGTGTGTGCGTGTGTGTGTGCGTGTGTGTGTGTGTGTGTGTGTGTGCGTGTGCATGTAAACTCACCCAAACTGACGTGATGGAAGGAGGTTGGTGGTCCACTTCTCAATTGCGCTAATCTGGACATCAAACCGGGGAGAGATGACCCCACACTTGATAAGACGGCCCGTCAGGTTCACAACAATCTTACCGGCCCGATGGTCGTCGACGATTTCAAATTCCCCGATGTATCCTGGAGAAGATGGACGTTTATATTAACACAAGGGGGATACAATCACATTGGATAAATTCTTATTAAAACCAAACACTGAATTATTGAAATTAAATTATATAACTAGAGAATATAATGCAGGGAACTCTCCTATCATAGGTAGGAGGGCCAGATTTATTAAATGTCTACGTGAGATTTTTCTTTAGCCAATTCTCCCAACATGAGACAGACAGTGATATATTTTATGGTGATAGTATGTTAACAGTACAAGGTCAGCACATATTGACACAGTGCATTAGTGCCCTTTAAGATACACTTTGTGCAAATACTCACCTTCTTCTTAATATAAGTGGGTTGAAACTTGTAATGAAATGAAATTTGTGAATTTGTTTTTAAAAAGTGGCACCTTAAATCATTATTTTGTCAATTTTGGGTTGAACGGTAGTTTGAAAATGTTTAAGACATCCCCCCATCAAAAAGGGGACCATAATTTGTTACCCTTAACTCAGTTAAAATTTGGAGTTTGAGGGTAGACTCACAACTGTAATAAATTTTTTCTGATTATCTGTGAGAGGATGTTCCCATTATTATTTATTTGTAGGCATTTTGTGTACGTGTCTACACACACATATACAATACAGGCAAAAGAAATAATTGTTCTAAGGACAAACACAAAAGGGAATATACATTTCTTTGTACACAAGTAAAAAGGTAACCCCCCCCCCCCCGGTCAGCAAATGTTATTCGCGGCCATTTTGATAACCTAAATCCTGCGCATTTGGGGGTCTACTGTACACACACACTTACCATGCTTCATCATCACCGTCAGGAACTTGACAACAACTTTGGAACAAGGGCGAATCAACACCTGACGCTTGCCACGTTTCTCTGCATTGTTTATGCTTCTAAGAGCGTCCGAGAGAGCGTTCATTCGTACCATCTTGACGAGTGGTTATACCTGCAACAAAATTACCACATTAAAATACAAAATTACCCCCAAAATATATAGAAACAATTACAGTAGTGAGAAATATAAATAAAATCACATTCCAAGAACTTCTGAGCAATTTAAACTTGGTCCACAAACGTGCCACCGCGCATTTATGAAGCCTGGCAGTGTCTTCATATCTGATGCAACACCCAGAGGGGCAGCTATACGAGCCAAGTGTCAGTCGTGTGGTACACATATATGGCTCCCCGTGCAAGCCTTTCCCACCTACTTCCATTATTGCCCAGTGAGCCATTATGTCTGATAAACCTGGAACAAGAGCCTAAATCTTGGACTTAGAAACATTTAAACTTTGATTAGGCATGTCGTGTGGGCCAGAGCCTTAGTTCAAATTACTTTTTTTTATTCTCTTAACTTCTTTAAAATTATGATGTTTGTAAATATTTTATAAACAGTGATACTAAATACAGTACGTACAGTAATTAGACGCTGTAAAATTTTGTCAGTAAACCGTAATGACCGTTCAACTAATTAGGCATTACCACAAAGAATTATAGTACGCTGAGCAGACACAAATATCATACAAACTGCACACATATTTTAATCACCTTTACTATGGTTAGGCTCAGGTCGGGTCACCCTCTGAGGTCACATACAATATACCCGTACTCTCCTTCACCTACCCTTTCAAACTATATACAGTAATTCCTTGTGATCCCAGTTAGCTATTTCACTCCCTGGAGCTATATTATAAAGTGTGTATCTCTCACTTAACTAAATCTCATATATTATTATCCTGGATACATTCAACTATATGTCAAATATAATACAGGAGATTAAACCTAACCTAACCCAAGCCAAATACAACCTAACCTTACATAAACCTCCCCTACGTGCGGCTTTACTTTAAATTGATAAATAAGCAAAACAAAATTTCACGATCACAGGTTAAGAATTTTAGGTTAGGTTATTATTACAGATATTTAGTACACAGTGTTATTATGTTATTGCAGTACATATAATAATAAATTATGTACACTTAACACTGAAGAATAAGATAATAATCGAACACTTCTTTTGGCTATTGTACCTCTTATATATGGCCCCAGTGTTGAATAAAACCCTCTGGTACTGGCCAAATAAAATATCAAAAGTGACATCCTTGTAGTGAAGGGGTTAATTAAATTTATTGAAATATTTATAATAACAAAAATAACATAAAACGATAACAACAACATCACCTTGGTGCAATATTTTCCCTTCAGTTTTCACCACCGAAAATTTAAACATGATACCCGAGGCACCGACTCTATTCAGAGATAGTGAAGAAAACAAATTAAGCGAGATAGTGGTGACTAGTAACGATGTTAGTAAGCAAATAGACAAACTGAAGCCTAATAAGTCACCAGGTCCCGATGAGATATTTGCCAGAGTATTAAAGGAATGTAAGGAAGAGCTTAGTATGCCCTTAGCAAAGTTGTTTAACATGTCATTAAAAACGGGTGTAGTACAAGAATCGTGGAGGATAGCGAATGTAATAACTATTTTCAAGAAGGGGGATAGATCACTGTCCTCTTAACTACCGTCCAATCAGTCTAACATCAATAGTAGGCAAATTACAGGAAGCAATCATTTCAAACTCTATTTGAAATCACCTGGAGAAGCACAAGTTGATCAATGATTCCCAACATGGCTTCACAAGCGGGTCTTCATGTCTAACTAATCTATTAACATTCTTTTCATCAGTTTTTGAATCGGTGGACGAGGGGCACAATTATGATGTGGTATATCTCGACTTTAGCAAAGCCTTTGACAGAGTCCCCCACGAAAGACTAATTAGAAAGGTAGAAGCACATGGCATCAAAAGTAATATCCTTAAATGGATTAGGGCGTGGTTACAGCACAGGAAACAGCGAGTGAGCATTAACGGCACTAAGTCCCATTGGAGCAAAGTCATTAGTGGAGTTCCCAAGGCTCAGTACTTGGACCATTATTATTTACTATATACATAAACGACATAGATATCGGCATAGACAGCAACATAAGTAAATTTGCTGATGACACTAAAATAGGACGTGTAATTAAATCTGATGAGGACTCCGCAAAACTACAGGAAGATCTAAACAAATTTTTCGAATGGTCGGAAAAATGGCAGATGGAATTCAATGTGGACAAATGTAAAGTACTCAGTATAGGAGATGTAAACAGGGAACCCAGTTACCAGATGAACAACGATGCCATTGTGAAATCAGACTGCGAGAGAGATTTAGGAGTAATGTTAAGTAGGAATCTTAAACCAAGTAAACAATGTGTTTTTGCTCGCAACAAGGCTAATAAAGTACTTGGGTTCATACAAAGGAGTGTTACTTACAAGACTAGCGAGGTCATCTTAAGATTATATCTTGCGCTTGTTAGACCTCACCTGGATTAGGCAGTTCAGTTCTGGTCACCGTACTACAGAATGGATATAGAATCCTTGGAAAGAATTCAGAGGAGAATGAAAAGACTAATCCCGGGCATTAGGAACCTTGAGTACAGAGACAGGTTAAAGCATCTTAATTTGTACTACCTCAAGAGACATAGAGCGAGGGGCGACATGATAAGAGGTGTATAAATGGAAGTCAGGGCTAAACAAAGGGGACATGACAAAGGTACTCAAACTATCCAACCAGGAGGAAACTCCTAACAATGGTTTTAAGTTAGACAAATTTAGATTTAGGCACGATATAGGTAAACACTGGTTTGGAAATAGAGTAGTGGATGAGTGGAACAAGTTACCAAACATCATCATTAACTCTAATACGCTGGATAGCTTCAAACAGAGGCTGGATGGATATATGAGCGATAGGGGTTGGGTGTAAACGGGACTGACCAGTATAGACCCGCTGCTGTTTCCTCCATTCTTATGTTCTTACGTACCTATTATATTAGTGGATAAGTATCTACTGCAGTACAGTAAATTAATCTAAGATGATTGAGTATAGAGAAATAAAAACATTTTATTACATTTAGGGTTGGTATTTAGTTCTGGTGTGATTGTCAATATAAGGTGATTAAGTGTCATACAATTTAGACATTTTTTAAAATTCAGTGGAACAAATTTCACAGGATTTATTGTTTGTTGACGAATCAGCCGAACTTGACACGATCAAGATCGACCAATAGGGGGACGCCAAGTGCATGATCAAGTATTATAGACAGAAAGCTTCAGCAGCAGTACAATGAAGCCTCCATATAGCAGACTTATCTCTACATGTAATCCATTAGATAAAGCTTCACAAATGACCGTCATAGATGAAAGGCGAATTAAATTTGTCTCAACCGTCAGACTAACACGGTATTGTTTTTATTTTCGGTCATCCAGGGACTCTTAAGGTGGCAGCACACCGGGCACTTTCCTCCAAACACGTTGCCCGTTTAGCTGGCCCTAAACGCCCAACAAGCAGCAGGATTTCAGCCGTTGCCAGAAAAGAACAACGGTTTGGCGGGGATCTTTGCTGGCCAGATTATTGTTCAAATGAGCTTCATATAATTTTAAGTAAAATTTGAAATAAATCAGGAAAAAATGATAATGTAAAATATAATAAACGATGACTTATTTCTGTTCATTCGCCACTTTATAACATCTTAGTACAGTCGGCCCTTAACATACGCGGGGGTTAGGTAACAGAGATACCCGTGAATGTTAAAAATCCGTGTACTTTTGCTGCCCCATCCCCCCCCCACCCTAAAAACCCCTGGCCCCCCATGTCCTTATTTACCGTATATACCTGTGTGTAGTTCGAGTTTTTAAGACCAAATTATTTTGCAAAAAATTGGGGGTCGACCTCTAAATGGGTAATAGTTTCGTTAGGTTGAAAAATATTTACCAGTAACTGCCGGTAAACAATGGAAACGACACACCACTAGCTGTGAGTGTCGGTACAGTCGCCAGGGCAGATCTCTTGCGTCATCATAGCTAGCCCAAAGTAGCCAAGTCCATGGTATGGTATACACAGGACGATGTAAAACATAAAGTATTCATTTGTTAAAGTTTATTTATAGATACTGTACATAAATTTTTGTTCATTACATTTGAAACATCAATCTTTGTTAATTAAATTTGATACAAAAGAAAACTACGATACCGTATTTTCATTAAAATATTACATAAGTATATTTTACCTTAACTGTGACTGAATGAATATATTCTCAGAAATAAATATGGAAATGTAATATTTTGGCTGAAATGACGTACATATTACTGTACAGTGGAAAGTGGGATAAAATTATGAAAACAATGGCTTTCGCTTTCTTTCGTTGTTCAAAATATGTTACCGTAATCGCTTTTTGAATGGTTTTCAGTTAAAAAACTGTTGTACTCGTACTGTATTACAATAATATTCTATCCTATCATTAGCCTTATAATCCCACAACTGAAAACCATTCGAAAAGCTATTACGGTAACATCTTTTGAACAAAAGAAAGCAAGTCATTGTTTTCGTCACAATTTTATCCCACTTTCCTCTGTAATACGTACGTCATTTCAGCAAAAAATATTACATTTCCGTGAATGTATTATATCAACCACAGTATAAATAGAATATCACTAATATAACAGTATTTTAACTGAAAACTATTAAAAAAACGAGTAACATATCTTGAACATCGGAAGGTTTGGTAAAGTCTTTTGTTTTCATGTAGTTTATCCTAAGTTACATTGAAATACATCACGTTTCGGCAAAACCACTATTTATTTCTGAGAATATGGAAATGTAATATTTTTGCTGAAATGACGTACGTACAGGTTGTACCTCTCTAGTCCGGCATTCTGTGGTCCGGAAACTCCCGTGGTCCGGAACGATTCTAGTTTGTCCAATAGGTAGATAGGCAGCTTTTTTTTTTTTTTTTATCTGAATTATTATTATTATTACAGGAGTATTAAATTTTTGCCCCTCAGGCCCCAATGTGGGTCAGTGACCTATGCCCGGGTGGGCTAATCCCCTTAAAAAAAAAAAAGCCGCGGGAAA